TTTTATCCATTTATTTGAGAGAGCAAGAGAGAGAGAGAGAGAGCATGAGCAGGGGGAGGGAAAGAGGGAGAAGGAGAAGCAGGCTCCCCACTGAGCAGGGAGCCTGACTGGGGACTCAGTCCCAGGACCCTGAGATCATGACCTGAGCTGAAGGCAGACGCTCAGCCAACTGAGCTGAGAGGCACCCAGGTGCCTCTAAAATTCTTTAAAAGAACCTTATTTCATTTGACTTTGTAAAATCGTTTAGAGGCAAGAAGATGGTGGTGTGGAAAAAGCATGGGCTCCAGAGTTAAATCAATTGAGATTTAGATACCTACCACCACTATATGTGATCTTGGGCAAGTATTATATAACTCTGACCCTTGGTTTCTACATCTGAAAACTGGTTTTCATAGCAGCTAATATTTTTTGACATGTGCCAGGCATTGTGCTAAACATCTTAGATATATTTTATGTAGTTCATATAATAACCTTACACGGTAAATCCTACTGTCTCCTCATTTCACAGGTGAGGAGTGGAAGTGCAGAAAAGCAGGTAATTTGATCAAGGTCACATAACTAAATTTGTGGTGTTAAAAGAATGAGAGATGATGCATGTAATATGTGTGTAAAGCAGTGTCAGACTCTGAGTAAGTATTCAGCAAGACATTGTATGTTATTGTTGATGCTGTTCTAAAAGAAACCAAAGTGCATTTGCATCAGACTTGGTTTATAAATAATCTATACCTGAGGATTAAATACTATTTCAGATGTCTAGTCCCAAATTCTGCTTCCAGAATTCTAAAGTGAAATTTCCAGATTATAAACAACATGAAGAGAGGCAACCATGTCTTTTAATTTTCTCTTAAGTTCCGTAGCTCTTAGTATAATACACATTTGAGAAAATAGTATGCATTAGATAAATACTTATTGATGATTATAAATTTCTCTCAAAAGGACAAATGTGGATGTATTTATAAATTAAAAATGGCCATTTTCTGAAAAGCATTTCATTTCCTTTAAGGGCTAATTCTTTCATTCTATTATTTAAAAAAGTTGCCATTGGAGGGTAATTTTAGGACTTTCATTATAAGAGTCTTTTGTTTTCACATTGGTATAAGAAAAAAAAATGAGAAAGCTATAGAGAAGGCTGACCTCTCAAGAATTTCTGTGTGGGGAATTACTAAGGCATGGAAGTCCATAAACCATTTTTCTCCATCTATTTTTTTTGTATATTTTCAACAAACTGTACTTCTAGTTAGTGAAAGTTGGCAGTTTTTTTAGTATCAGGCCAAATTCCATTCTCATCAGCTCAGAGTTCACAGGACATAATGAAGTCTAAATTCAACCCTAAATTGAGTGTATTTTAATAAAGATGGCCTAGTCTATTTGGGGCTCAGTTTACCTCAAAACTGTCTTTTTTTTTTAAGATTTTATTTATTTATTTGACAGAGAAAGACACAGCGAGAGAGGGAACACAAGCAGGGGGAGTGGGAGAGGGAGAAGCAGGCTTCCCACGGAGCAGGGAGCCCGATGCGGGACTTGATCCCAGGACCTTGGGATCATGACCTGAGCCGAAGGCAGACACTTAACGACTGAGCCACCCAGGCACCCCAAAACAACCTTTAAGAATAGTAAATTTTATAACAAATCCTATAATGTATATCCTAGTTTTATTTTTTTTTAATTTTAAAGATTTTATTTATTTATTAGAGAGAGAGAGTGAGAAACAGCATGAGAGGGGAGAGGGTCAGAGGGAGAAGCAGGCTCCCTGCTCAGCAGGGAGCCCGATGTGGGACTCGATCCCAGGACTCCAGGATCATGACCTGATCCGAAGGCAGTCGCTTAACCAACTGAGCCACCCAGGCGCCCTGTATATCCTAGTTTTAAAAAATAGCTTGTATATTTTTAGTATGATTATAACAGTACTATATCTGTGAATGATGCTGGCATACCAATATGCCTTTCTTCATTAGAATATAATTTTGTGGGGGCACCTGGGTGGCTCAGTTGGTTAAGTGACTGCCTTCGGCTCAGGTCATGATCCTGGAGTCCCGGGATCGAGTCCCACATTGGGCTCCCTGCTCAGCGGGGAGTCTGCTTCTCCCTCTGACCCTCTTCCCTCTCGTGCTCTCTCTCATTCTCTCTCTCTCAAATAAATAAAAATCTTTAAAAAAAAAAGAATATAATTTTGTGATATTTTGTCAAATAATCAGATCTTTACATTTGGAGCAAATGCCTTCTTCCTTAGAAACTTAAAATTCTTGTGTTTCATCACTGGAATAACTTGTAAACTGGTTTGTTTACAAGTAGCAATTGACAAGTGGGAGGAGATTGTCAAATGGGTAACAATGAGATATTTTTCTTCCTTCATTATCTTCCTGTGCTTGGTCAGGATTTTTTTTTCTTTCACAAGCTCTTTAGAATTATGATGCTTTGGTCTACTATGCATCTTCGTCTTTTTGTTCACTGATGTATCCAAGGGCCTGGAACAGTGCTTGGCTCATAGTAGGTCCCAAATATTTGTTGAATGAGAGAATAAAGGGTCTCTTGTTATGCTCTTGGGCATCTTTAGTATGCATCTTGCTTTTTTACTTACCAGATCCGTTCTGAGGTTTAGCCACTATCCGCTAGATTTTGAGTCATCCAATGGACTCTGTATTATAGTAGGATATTATTTATAGTGACAACTGTGCTTTGTGATGATAAGAGGGAAAGAACTTACAGACTGACAGCACTATAGAGACAGAAAGTAGATTAGTGGTTGCCTGGAGCTGGGATTGGAGGTGAGAACAGAAAGTGACTCAGATGGGCAGTAGGGATCTGTTTTGGGTGAAGGAAATGCTCTGAAACTGGATTGTGGTAATCGTTGTACAGCTCTGTAAACTTATTAAATCACTGTGTTGTTAAAAGGAGTGAATTTACAGTATGTAAACTGTACCTCAGTAAAATTGTTAAAAGAATAAATAAAACCAGGTTGGGGGTTTAAAATTTTTAGAAAAATTGGAAAACTAGGATGTAATTATTTTCTTTATTTCTCACTTTAAGTATGACTTGTTGCTATAGATAAATGACTACCTCAAACCAATTTTCTCTGTGAAGTAATTCAGGACAGAGAGATGTTCATTTTATTCTCTGGAAAAGTACTTTCTTTTGTGATATTAGCGTGGAATTTATAAGGCTTCTGATATAAAACATCTTGTTACATCTAATTTCCTAATCCTCTTTTATGGAAATAATCCAAAAGTAGAAAAGTGAATAGATGTAAATTTTTCCACATTGCTGATAGTTTGTTTACATTTGGTTAAAAATTAGGACACCCAATTTTTTTCCATTGCGTTTCTGAAAGATTAGTTTAACCTGCCTAGATTGCTTTCTTTTCATTTTCTTAAGCGAATTATTTATGGACTCTCTCTAATGTATTATCCTTCCACCTTTTTTTTTTTGGTTGGGAGATTATTTATATTTTAAAATTACTTGTTGGTTGAAAAAAGTTTTTCCATGAAACTAGTATTTTTTGCGTTCTGTATGTGTCTCCTCCCAAGGAGTACAGCCCCCTTAAAAATCTGACTATGTCCTGAAAAATTATATATAAAAGATTTCCCACAAGTCTACTAAATGCCAAATAGTTTAAAGATCTAATTAAGGTTATTGAGATTAGTTGACTCTCAAGTCCGAAGGAGTGAAGCATTGGCAAGGATGTGAGGACCTAGAGATATTGTAATTAAAAGGCACTTGTATTTTAAGAATGAATTGAGGTGGCTTGATTTCTCATTAGTTAAATCATTGTGCAGTTATTCTGTACTTTGAAACTATTAGATGATAATAGTAGTTATTGTTAATATCATAATTGATAATGTATTTAGTGCTGACTGTATGTCAGACACTCTTCTAAAGACTTTTCTTAAGGAACTCATTTCATTCTGGTAAGAATCCTATGAAGTAAGCATTACTACCATCCTCATTTAACAGATAAAGGGAAATAAGTTACACAGAACTCACCCAGGGTCGCACAGCTAGAAAACCCAGGCAGGCAGGCAGGCAGGCATGGCTCATCATCACTATACCAAAATAAAAAGACCATTTTTCTTTTTCTTTTTCAAAAGCAAAAAAAAAAGCTTCATCCTGAAAAGACCAAGAAATCCTTAGTATAAGAAAATAAGAACTAATACTCTACTGCTAGATGGAGAAATATGTTCTTCCATTTCCTTCTTTATTTTTATTTTTTCCTTGTTTCCATTTATATTTTTATGTTTTTGTTAATTATATATTTATATTTTTATGTCATTTATGTTAGTTTCCATTGTTTTTTTTTTTTTTTTAAGATTTTATTTATTTATTTGACAGAGAGACGGTGAAAGAGGGAACACAAGCAGGGGGAGCGGGAGAGGGAGAAGCAGGCTTCCCGCAGAGCAAGGAGCCCGATGTGGGGCTCGATCCCAGGACCCCGAGATCATGACCTGAGGCAAAGGCAGATGCCCAACGACTGAGCCACCCAGGCGCCCCTCCATTGTTACTTTTATGACTCAGTGTTATTCGCAATGATGGACATGCTCTGTTTACTCATGCTTTTTCATACTATGCTAGGCTGAAAGTTCAAACAGTATTATTTGACTTTAGTCAGAAATCTCTTATTAGGATTTCTTTTATGTGTCTGGTAGTTTAATCACTTGTCCACTGGAATTGTTTGATCATTTCTGTGGGAACTCTTCAAGCATTAACTGCTGCTTAAAAGGTATGAACTGTAAATGCACCTCACATTTCTATCTACCTTTTGAGAAATCTGTATTATTGTAACTCAAAAGGTGAATTTCACGTAAGAATGCTTATGGTTGTTGGTTAAACAGTGATGTAAGTATCAATATAAATAAGCAAAAATATTTTAATAAATTGATTTCTGTTGAATTAAACTGTACAGTAAATAATCTCACAGTTTGGATATGTTTTGAGGAAAAGTTCAAGGTATTATTATTTTTTTAAATCATTCATTCCCATTCCTTTGTTTTTATTTTATTTTTTAGGATTTTGGCCCCTAACAGTAATTATCAAGATGTTGAGACCCTCTATAACTTCCTAATCAAGTATGAGGTATGAAAAATATTTTAAAATGCTTATCATATTTCCACTGTAAACAAGTTTTACTATAAATAAACATGATAGAGGTCTAAAACCATCAGAATGCTATTTAACTGGCATTTGTTTTAAATTTTTAAAGGCCACAGAAGTTTGTCAAAGACAGGTTAAGCTTTTTCTTTCATTCATAAAATAAAAACATGGAGTCCTATAACACACTTTCTCCAACACAGAGTTGTTTCTCACTAGGGGTGCGGTTGGCATTTCGGGACGGGTCATTTCTCCATTGTGTGGAACACTGCAGGGTGTTCAGCATTGCTGCTTCTCACATACTAAATCCCAATATCTGAGTCACTGTGACAACCAAAAATATTCTACCGCCCCACTGGAGCTCACGGACCCAGATGGCCCCCAGGGAGAAAGAGCCACCTCTGTTTGAGAGCCCACGATTCATGAAAGGAAAGCTATAATTCTGTTTCCTCTGTAGCGGCAGCACACACCATTGGTGTGAGAGCTGAGGGCTGTGGTGAGGCTCTGGTGTGTTTTGTGACTTAACTTGCAAGCTTTCCTCACCAGCGCTGAGCCAGGAAAAATACTCTGTTGATCTTCAGTTTCTCTGCCCATGTTCCTGTATGTTCTTTCTTTTCAAGTGTGTGTGTGTGTGTCTTAAGTTTTCAAATGCTCCAAATGAAAGAATGTGACATATACTCACATCTCACATTTCTTATGGAGTCCAACTTTTTAAAATATATTCACTTTTATTTCTGGTTTCCTCTTTATTTAACTCTTTGTGTGTAACATCTTACATTAGGAACACAGCCTGGGGGGGCTCCTGGGGGGCTCAGTTGGTTAAGCAACTGCCTTCGGCTCAGGTCATGATCCTGGAGTCCCGGGATCGAGTCCCACATCGGACTCCCTGCTCAGCAGAGAGTCTGCTTCTCCCTCCGACCTCCCCCCCTCTCATGTACTCTCTCTCTCAAATAAATAAATAAAATCTTTAAAAAAAAAAAAAAAGAACACAGACTGGGGTCAAACTACCTGTGTTCAAATGTTGGTCCTACCCATTATCAACTGTATGCTTAGAAGAGTTATTTAATTATCTTTGTCTCAGGTTCTTCATCTGTAAAATGGGAATAACATCAGTAGATAAATTATAGATATTCTTTTTTTTTAATTTATTATTGTTATGTTAATCACCATATATTACATCATTAGTTTTTGATGTAGTGTTCCATGATTCATTGTTTGTGCATAACACCCAGTGCTCCATGCAGAATGTGCCCTCTTTAATACCCATCACCAGGCTAACCCATCCCCCTACCCTCCTCCCCTCTACAACCCTCAGTTTGTTTTTCAGAGTCCATCGTCTCTCATGGTTCGTCTCCCCCTCCGACTTACTCCCCTTCATTCTTCCCCTCCTGCTATCTTCTTCTTTTTCTTTTTTCTTAACATATGTTGCATTGTTTCAGAAGTACAGATCTGTGATTCAACAGTCTTGCACAATTCACAGCGCTCACCATAGCACATACCCTACCCAATGTCTATCACCCAGCTACCCCATCCCTCCCACCCCCACCACTCCAGCAACACTCATTTGTTTCCTGAGATTAAGAATTCCTCATATCAGTGAGGTCATATGACACATGTCTTTCTCTGATTGACTTATTTTACTCAGCATAACACCCTCCAGTTCCATCCACATCATTGCAAACGGCAAGATCTCATTCCTTTTGATGGCTGCATAATATTCCATAGTGTATATATACCACTTCTTTATCCATTCATCTGTCAATGGACATCTTGGCTCTTTCCACAGTTTGGCTATTGTGGACATTGCTGCTATAAACATTGGGGTGCACGTACCCCTTCGGATCCCTACATTTGTATCTTTGTGGTAAATACCCAGTAGTGCAATTGCTGGATCGTATGGTAGCTCTATTTTCACCTGTTTGAGGAACCTCCATACTGTTTTCCAGAGTGGTTGCACCAGCTTGCATTCCCACCAACAGTGTAGGAGGGTTCCCCTTTCTCCACATCCCCGCCAACATCTGTCGTTTCCTGACTTGTTAATTTTAGCCATTCTGACTGGTGTGAGGTGGTATCTCATTGAGGTTTTGATTTGGATTTCCCTCATGCCGAGCGATGTTGAACACTTTTTCATGTGTCTGTTGGCCATTTGGATGTCTTCTTTGGAAAAATGTCTGTTCATGTCGTCTGCCCATTTCTTGATTGGATTATTTCTTCTTTGGGTGTTGAGTTGGATAAGTTCTTTATAGATTTTGGAGACTAGCCCTTTATCTGATATGTCATTTGCAAATATTTTCTCCCATTCTGTCGGTTGTCTTTTGGTTTTGTGGACTGTTTCTTTTGCTGTGCAAAAGCTTTTTATCTTGATGAAATCCCAATAGTTCATTTTTGCCCTTGCTTCCCTTGCCTTTGGCGATGTTTCTAGGAAGAAGTTGCTGCAGCTGAGGTCAAAGAGGTTGCTGCCTGTGTTCTCCTTTAGGATTTTGATGGACTCCTGTCTCACGTTTAGGTCTTTCAACCATTTGGAGTCTATTTTTGTGTGTGGTGTAAAGGAATGGTCCAGTTTCATTCTTCTGCATGTGGCTGTCCAATTTTCCCAACACCATTTGTTGAAGAGACTGTCTTTTTTCCATTGGACATTCTTTCCTGCTTTGTCAAAGATAAGTTGACCTTAGAGTTAAGGGTCCATTTCTGGGCTCTCGATTCTGTTCCATTGATCTATGTGTTTGTTTTTGTGCCAGTACCATACTGTCTTGATGATGACAGCTTTGTAATAGAGCTGGAAGTCCGGAATTGTGATGCCACCAGCTGTGCTTTTCTTTTTCAATATTCCCCTGGCTATTCGGGGTCTCTTCTGGTTCCATATAAATTTTAGGATTATTTGTTCCATTTCTTTGAAAAAAGTGGATGTTATTTTGATGGGGATTGCATTGAATGTGTAGATTGCTCTAGGTAGCATTGACATCTTCACAATGTTGGTTTTCCCAATCCATGAGCATGGAACATTTTTCCATTTCTTTGTGTCTTCTTCAATTTCTTTCAGGAGTATTTTATAGTTTTCTGAGTACAGATCCTTTGTCTCTTTGGTTAAATTTATTCCTAGGTATCTTACGGTTTTGGGTGCAATTGTAAATGGGATTGACTCCTTGATTTGTCTCTCTTCTGTATTGTTGGTGTATAGGAATGCCACTGATTTCTGTGCATTGATTTTATATCCTGCTACTTGACTAAATTCCTGTATGAGTTGTAGCAGTTTTGGGGTGGAGTCTTTTGGGTTTTCCACATACAGTATCATATCATCTGCAAAGAGTGAGAGTTTGACTTCCTCTTTGCCGATTTGGATGCCTTTGATGTCTTTTTGTTGTCTGATTGCTGTGGCTAGGACTTCTGATACTATGTTGAATAGCAGTGGTGATAGTGGACATCCCTGCTGCGTTCCTGACCTTAGGGGAAAAGCTGAGCCATTGAGAATGATATTCGCTGTGGGTTTTTCATAGATGGCTTTTATGATATTATTGAGGTGTGTACCCTCTATCCCTATACTCTGAAGAGTTTTGATCAAGAAAGGATGCTGTACTTTGTCAAATGCTTTTTCTGCATCTATTGAGAGGATCATATGATTCTTGTTCTTTCTTTTGTTAATGTATTGTATCACGTCGATTGATTTGTGGATGTTGAACCATCCTTGCAGCCCAGGGATAAATCCCACTTGGTCGTGGTGAATAATCCTTTTAATGTACTGTTGGATCCTATTGGGTAGTATTTTGGTGAGAATTTTTGCATCCATGTTCATCAAGGATATTGGTCTGTAATTCTCCTTTTTGATGGGGTCTTTGTCTGGTTTTGGGATCAAGGTAATGCTGGCCTCATAAAGTGAGTTTGGACGTTTTCCTTCCATTTCTATTTTTTGGAACAGTTTTAGGAGAATAGGTATTAATTCTTCTTTAAATGTTTGGTAGAATTCCCCTGGGAAGCCATCTGGCCCTGGGCTTTTGTTTCTTGGGAGATTTTTGATGACTCCTTCAATTTCCTTAGTGGCAATAGGTCTGTTCAGGTTTTGTATTTATTCCTGGTTCAATTTTGGTAGTTGATGCATCTCTAGGAATGCACCCATTTCTTCCAGGTTATCTAATTTGCTCATATATAGAGTTGCTCATAATATGTTCTTATAATTGTTTGTATTTCTTTGGTGTTGGTTGTGATCTCTCCTCTTTCATTCATGATTTTGTTGATTTGGGTCATTTCTCTTTTCTTTTTGATAAGTCTGGCCAGGAATTTATCAATCTTGTTAATTCTTTCAAAGAACCAGCTCCTAGTTTCGTTGATCTGTTCTACTGTTCTTTTGGTTTCTAGTTCATTGATTTCTGCTCTGATCTTTATTATTTCTCTTCTCCTGCTGGGTTTAGGCTTTATTTGCTGTTCTTTCTCCAGCTCCTTTAGGTGTAGGGTTAGGTTGTGTATTTGAGACCTTTCTTGTTTCTTGAGAAAGGCTTGTATTGCTATAGACTTTCCTCTCAGGACTGCCTTTGCTGTATCCCAAAGATTTTGAACAGTTGTGTTTTCATTTTCATTGGTTTCCATGAATTTTTTTAATTCTTCTTTAATTTCCTGGTTGACCCATTCATTCTTTAGTAGGATGCTCTTTAGCCTCCATGTATTTGAGTTCTTTCTGACTTTCCTCTTGTGATTGAGTTCTAGTTTCAAAGCATTGTGGTCTGAAAATATGCAGGGAATAATCCCAGTCTTTTGGTACCGGTTGAGACCTATTTGTGACCTAGGATGTGATCTATTCTGGAGAATGTTCCATGGGCACTAGAGAAGAATGTGTATTCCGTTGCTTTGGGATGGAATGTTCTGAATATGTCTGTGAAGTCCATTTGGTCCAATGTGTCATTTAAAATCTTTATTTCCTTGTAGATCTTTTGCTTAGATGATCTGTCCATTTCAGTGAGGGGGGGTGTTAAGGTCCCCCACTATTATTGTATTGT